TTCTTAAGACAGACTGCTGGGTCCCCATCCAGACTTTCTGATTTCATAGGTTTGTGGTGAGAGCCCCCATTTTGCATTGCTCACCCGTTCCCTGTGGCTGCTCTAGTTCTGGAAACCATAGTTTGAGAACTATGGATATTGAAAATGTAGTTAGAGTTTGGATTTCTCATGGATGCCAGATCCCATGGATCTTTATATAGATAAAGGAAGCCATTTTAGAGAAGATCTTAACTTTGGAGGTTGATATTATAGATGGACAACGTGCATCCCATCAACTACACCATTTAGTACATTGTCAGTTTGACAGTCCTTCAGCGAGAGCTAAGACTTTCCTAATTTAATATGATATTGAAGTTACTGAGCAGCGAGTTAAGCTAAGATCGTCTTACCTTCTCAGGAACAGACTGGTGCCCTGTGGCTTGTCTTCTAACTCAGAAAGAGGAGCACTGCTACAGTACTGCCCCTCTCTGGTGTGAGCTGGGCAGAGCTGCAGCCACCAGAAAAGGAACAAACTAACCATGGCAGAGACAACTCAAATGCTTCTTAACCTTTCTATAGGAAATAGCTGTTTCCATTTAAATTATGGGTACACTAGACTGCTGCATTAAAATTAACTTGCAAAAGCCTTCACTTTAAAAGGCTAGTCTTTGGGGAAAATGAAAGATCCAAATTTCATTGTGAAAAAATTACTTTTTAAAAGTTCAATACAAAGTATCAGATCTATTCTGAATACATTGTATTTATTAAGCAGTTATTACCTAACGAGAGGACCGATGCATGAAATTCGTGCAAGGGGCTTGGCCCTCACAGCCCCGGCTTCATCTGGAAGGTCGTTCAGGTGTTCGGTCTAATTAGCATATTAGCTTTTTATTTATATAGGATAGTATTTTTGTGCGTGTATATAATTAATAAATGTATATAATTAAAAGAAGGATGTCCTGGCATTTATTGAAAGTTGCAGAGTATTGGCAGGAAAATCATGATCCCTACCCTGGTCCCTCAAAGGGGTCAGTAGATTCCTCACCTCTGGGGTAGTCTCAATAAGAAATAAATTGATTAGGCTCTATTTTACCCACCAGCCCTGTCACAACCTGTGAGGGGTATTCTAAGAATAACTAAACTAAAAGAACTAAACTCAGTCTCTCAATATATCAGTAATACCAACTATTGTGATAAACCCCCAAATGATTTTTCTCAACATTTTATTATAAAAATGTTCAAACATACAGCAAAATTGAAAGAATTTTACAGTGAACATCTGTTTACCAAGATTCTACCATTAACATTTTACTATGCTTGTTTTATCAAATACTCCATCAATCCATCTTAATTTTTATGTATTTTGAATAAATTACATATATCTGTACACATCCTTCTAAAAATCCTCAGCAATACATATCAACTAAAGTTCAGTATTTTTTCTTTTGTTGAAAAATTTCATTGATGCCCACAAATATTAATGGCATGTCCTCTAAGTTTATACAAATGTATACACTTGTATACATTTGCCCAAACCTGTATCGATATACGTAGATTACAATACCACCATCACCCCAGAAAGTCTCCTCATGACCCTTCCCAGATAAGTCCCTTCCCCATCCCTCCCAGAAGCAGCCAGGTGTTTTTTTTCCCACCATAGAGTTGTCTGAATGTCATATGAATGGGATCATACATTATGCATTCCCCATGATGTTTTTAAAAGACAAATTCTTAGCCTGGCTGGCATGGCTCGGTGGTTGAGTGTTGACCTGTAAACCAGGAGATCACAGTTTGATTTCCAATCAGGGCACATGCCCAGGTTGTGAGCTCCATCCCCATTGGAGGGCGTGCAGGAGACAGCCAATCAATGATTATCTCTCTCCCTTCATCTCTGAAATAAATAAAAATACATCTTTTTTTAAAAAAACACCACAACAAATTCTTAGAAAAAGTGTCTCTGAAACAGGGAAAGTAATAGTGATAAAGACAACATCTGGGATCAGATTTTGAGTCATTCATTGAGCAGTTGTGAGACTCTCTAGTCTGTGGATACAAAGACATTGTGTCTTGAAGGACACAGCACACCATGGGAGAGCAGGTTGAGACAGTCACCACATGCACAGACCTGATCTAGCCTGGAGTCACTGGGGCATCAAGGGAGGTTTAAATTTTTACTTTGGAACTTGTCTCAGGCACCCAATGCTCTATTTCCACAAGTCTAGAATCTTATAATTCAAAATGATTTGTCTTTAAATAAGGGCAGTTTTATAGTACTGAGCAAATGTTGGCAAATTTGCTAAACAAATAAGAAATAAACAATAAAAGGCACAAATTGAAATTACTAGATAGTTAGCATTGCCCCCAGACACAAACCCAACACGCATTCCTGCCCCTGGACCCTGAGCTGCAGAAGCTTTGAAGAGCCCCAAAGCGCCACCACAAAGTTTTCATCCTCTTGGACTTCGCCTTAGCTTTCTCAAGGCCTCACACCTATTACATCTCCAAGTTCAGGCCCTCACTTAACTTCTTTCCTCTTTACCTTCATATTTTACACACAAATTACCAAAGAAAAGTCTTTAGTTCCCATACATACCCACTTTTTCCTACTTGAAACTATGCCTCTTTCCTAGTGGAGTGAGGAGTGAAGAGCCCAAAAACCCTGTACATTTCTTTCTTAAATGATTGCTTTCCCAGAAAACTAGAAGGATTAAGGGAAGTTCTGAAGCTTCTTTTTACCCAAGAGAAAGAAAGCTCTAGACTAGGAGCCACCCATTACTTGACCCTTGTAACTAAATGAATTTATTTCCCTTGTGTGGTGTGCTCTGTACCAGCAACTAACTGCTGACTAATCATGACTGGTTTTATTGTTGATGATTAAAACGTTCTTCTTGCCCTTCTTCATCACCTTCATTTGGCTTAGCTCTACAATTTACAGTGCCAGAAAGGATAAGGAAAATGGAGTGCCTGGACATACACGCAATCTTGACGCATGCAGGAACTTTTCTTTTGGTCTCAAATTGGCTACACATTTCTCAGATGAAAGGATAGCTGCCAGTGTTAAAAAGGAAAATCAAGAACTCACCAGTCATTTAGCTCATAAATGTTACGGACTTCATGTTTGTGCCACCCAGAAAGCTAATAGGTTGAAACCCTCAATGTGATGGTATTTAGAATTGAGGCCTTTGAGAGGTAATGAGGTGTAAATGAGGTCATGAGGATCTCTCTGCCATGAGAGGGCACAGTGAGAAGTCTGCACACTAAGAGGCCTTTCACCAGGAATCAAATCTGCCAGCACCTTCACCTTGGACTTCCCAGCCTCTGGAACTGAGAGAAATGTCTGTTGTTTAAGCCATCCACTCTATGGTATTTCGTTATGGCAGCCTGAGCAGTGTAAACATTCTTTCCTTAACCTCCATGACCCCTCAAGGAATGAAGGTCAGACAGGCTATTCCAGATGCTGTGATCCTGAATAGCCACGTGTCCCTTCACTCTGATTCCTAAAGAAATATTATACCTATCAGGTGTCAGTCACTTGCCAGGCACTTGAAACACTGAAATCTAGAGCAGAATCCCTGCCTTATGGAGCTGGCATTGGAAAGGGGAAAAAAGCATAAAATAATCACCATATAGTTAAAACAGGGATGTGATAGCAATAGAACATTTAAAAGGGGGACCTGACTTAGTCCTGCAAGTGTGGGCTGTATTCTCTAAAGTGGCAGTTGATCTCACTCTCAAGTCCTCAGCGGGAATTAATGAGTGAATCGGTGTACAGGGCAGAGGCCAGGCGGCTCAAGGAGGATGGAAGTCCTTGTGCTGAGGGCAGTGACTGGGCAGGCAGTTTTAGCTGGAGATGAGAGTAAAGGTGGCAGGGCCTGGATCATTTCATCTAAAAAGATCAGTCAGCAACATGAAGAATGGATTAAAGAGATGAGAATTTAGATAAATACTATTCTCAATTTCTGCTTCAAAATCAGATATGTTCATCTGGGAAAAACAAGTTCTCTATGGAAACTTCAGGGGCTAAATGGATTAAGTTGGGAATCAGCCTGCTGGGAGCCTGGGCGTGCTCTGCAGCTGTGTGAGCTCCTCTAGGTCCCTTCCCAGTCCTCCCTCGAGAAATATCCTCTACATCGGCGGTTCTCAACCTGTGGGTCACGACCCCTTTGGCAGTCAAACGACCCTTTCACAGGGGTTGCCTGAGACCATCCTGCATATCAGATATTTACATTACGATTCATAACAGTAGCAACATTACAGTTATGAAGTAGCATCAAAAATAATTTTATGGTTGGGTCACAACATGAGGAACTGTTTTTAAAGGGCCAGAAGGTTGAGAACCACTGCTCTACATGCTCCCCTCACTTTGTGGTCTATAATGGCTGTCGCAGGTGGGTTAATTAAAATGACACTTCATCAGATGGCATGTAAAACACTACTTTTATCAATTCTAAAGTTCAGGATATTCACTTTTGTAATGAATTTCTACCCTAAACTGGAGTTTCAAAAATACTTTACAGCAACTGCTCCCTTACCTAGTTGTCCTCATCAAGCTACACCGATCTCTAGACACAGGGCACCTTACAATTTAACATGTAAACCAACAGTGTGCTAATATGGCTTCACTCTAAAACAAAGGAGCAGCTATGAAGTTTCAAGCAGATAGAAAAATCCTGAAATGCACGAACATCTAGACCCCTAGCCCGGGGTAAGCATGACGCAAAGGGATATGATTACAATAGAAATTACTGGCAAACTGAATTCACCAAGACAGTTTTACACTCAGTAGAAAAAAAATTTCACTTGAGAAAAGCTTTAAAGATCAAAATACTTTGCAGTTTAGCTCTCTGGAAAATTAAGTTATTTGGAACTCCTCTTGTTCCAAGATGGAGTCCCCACAGGAAGCTGCTAACAAAATAGTGTGGCTAAACGTATTATCAACACAAATACTAATAGATCAATTTACCACACACACACAAAAAAAGAAAATGTGCTAGTAACTAACCCAACCACAAAAGACCAAATGGACTTAAAAAAGAAAACTTTATTCCAAAAAGAATTACCAAAAGAAGCATGTTAACTCTGAAACATTTAACAGGTTTCATTTAAACTCAGTCACAAAATTCAAACAAAAACAGCTTTGTGTGCTTAACCACTTTTAATGAAACTTTAAAAACGGAAACATGTACTGTAGAGATTGCCCCATAATTTGGGAGCCATTTAGGCAAATATTTAATATGAAGGGGAAAAACATCAGCATTAAAACAGAAGTCTCAAATGTAAGAATAGGTGTTCAAGTTTTTGACATGCATTTATATGCATGAGAAAACAAAGAATTAATTTAGAAGAAATCAAGTCTTTCTTCAAATATGATCTCCTATCTTGCCTTCATTTTGACGCATACCCCTCATGCTCCATCCTTCATCTACACTGAACCAGTGTTGGTCAACATGATTGGCTTACTGGGAAGCCCTCCAGATCCCATTTCACAAATCCTGTCTACCACCCCATTATCCGCTCACATGTTTGCACAGCCTTCTGAGTATTATCACTGTAATTGAGCTAGGGAATTTCAGGTCTCCAAAGAATGATTATATATACACAATTCTGTTTTACCGCACAGTTCACAATATATAGGTGATTATATAACTATAAGATGAATATTGACTATTGAGACAAACAACATCAACTTTGTCTCCAACACAAATGAAACAGATACACAAATTTCCCACCATATAGAGGTTGTGTTTTTAGTCTGTGGTGCAGTCCTGAGGGCTCATACCACTTTACGTATGTTAAATATGGAATCCATAACATCAGACATGAATATAGGAGGCAAAACCAGAAGTGCCCCGTGCTCATGAGCAGTCTGTGTCACTTATGTAACAGAAAGGGCCACTTTTAAAGCTTTTCAAATAGTTAATCATATTTGCCTTTTCAGAATTACTGTACTAATTCACACTGAAGGTATAAACAATAGGTAGAATCTTACTTGTAACATAAATTTGACTTATTTTCAAGTTCAGACAAAGCTGTTGGTTACAAGTTCTGTTAAACTTTCTGTCAAATTTAAGAAGTCTACAGGACAACAAAGAACCATCCCTGGTAATGTATTTGCAGTTTGGTCTTCAAAAGCTGTAAAAGGTGACAAAGAAATCCAAAAATGTGAGTTAAAACCATTAAAAATATTTATTGTTTGTAAATACCACATATTTGAGACAGCAGAAACCAAAGCGTCCTCCTTTATATTCTCACTTCACTTGTATTTTACAAAGTGCTTTAGAACTTAAGATTTCTACCACCTGTGTGGAGTGTATAGACAAAAGCAAGCCCTGTGGGACCAAAGGCCCATGGAGTCCACTTCCAGGGCCAGAGCATGACCCCAGGCTAACACACCTGCCACATGCTGAGCACCTAGACAGGCAGTACTCAGGGGCTCACACACAAATGAGGGGTCATGCACCACAGTACCAATGTCATTCATTTCTGAAAGAACTGCTTCCAATCCTCACCCTTGACTCTATTTGATAGGCCAAAGGATGCTACTCACATTTATTTGAGTTTTCTGAAATCCTGACATCTGCACCTTGGTTGCTCAAGTAAACTGCCATTTTTAGCACAACACTGTCAAACAGAGCTGTTATAAATCTCCTGAGCTTGATTATTGCCTAACAAATGCTTGGTTATGCTTCCTAATCCTTTTGGTTGGAAGAAGGATGTTCATTTTATTTGACCAGCCATACTGCATGTAGAGGTAAACATCTGTTTTGGACTATCTGCCCAGAAACTGAGTAAACTACCAATTGAGACCCTGATTTTATTTTGGTCATTACGTGCACATTTTCATATGCAATTACCCAGCCTGATGAAAAACTGGTAGTAGGAATCCTAACTACTCTGCCATGTCAGATGCTGGAAAGCAATCTTAACTACATATTTACAGACGTAGGTTTTAAAAAATAAACCACTTTTCTAGGATGTTTCATGATTACTAATCATTCAACTGTTGTATGAATCATTTTGCCTGATTTATCGGGAAAATACATCTTAAAAGCTGATTCCTTTGACAAATATGTTTTTGTTAGGTAAGGGATGACTAATCTATCCAGCTATTACCAGTCTAGAAATTTAAAATTAACCCTTCAAATGTCTTTATTTAGATCTGATCCTCTCAAATTGTTTTAATGATAAAATGGTAAAATTGGGTTCCCAAAATGTAAAAATCCTAATACAAGTCTCTATTTCCAAAACTAAATTAAAATTAAAAAAAGGTAGCTAACACTGTGGGATGAAAGCTATCCTGAGTGTCCCCCCCGCCATACACACACACACACACAAAACAATGAGAAACCAGAAATAAAAACCTGGGATTCTATTAAATAGACTTTCAAAATAAAATTTTATGGAAGTGTTTTCTAAAAGGAGTTTCAAGAGAACAGAGTACTTGAATAAGACAAACTAGTACGTAAAGGGGGAAAAACTCCCAAAGCTATTTGCTAAGTTGGCAACAACAATTCAAAGAAATTGAGCTAAAGAGAGTTTGATCTTTACATAATTAATATGAAACTTAATAAGATGAAATGCCTATGACAAAATTTAAGTCTCCCCACCTTTTGGCAGTGAAATTAACATGATATTTTGGACAGGTTTAAGGTCACATTCAGAATTAAACAGAAAACTTTCAAATCCAGAAAGCAAATGGGAGCTGTCATTAGCTGCTGGAGTCTACCATGCCTAAATAGAAACAGCGTGGATAATGACTATCCCAACAGGTGCTGTTTCAAAACTAATACAAGCAATTTATCATGAAAAGCTTACACCTATTAAGCTTTCTTCTCTGTCCTGCTCCTTGTGTATATGCTTCAGTTTAGCAAAGACTACACTTTGCAACTCCTCCTAAGAGGAGAGAAGCAAGAAATGGAGTAATAAAAGTAAGCCTGAGAATTCAAGGGGCCCTAAGAGCCTTTTCTCTGGCTGGTCATGGCCACTTATGTTTTAATAAGGGTTTAAAGATTTGGGGAAAAAGACTATCTTGGCTATTAGTTTCCTCAGCAAAAGCCATCCATAGACAGACAGCTATTAACCAAGCAATTAACCCAAAGTTCTCAGGTAATAATTAGAACAAAACAAAACAGCCCGGCTGTTGTGGTTTAGTGGTGAAGCATCGATACCCGGTCAGAGCCCAAGCCCAGGTTGCGGGCTCCATCCCCAGTAGTGGATATTTGGGAGGCAGCCAACCAATGACTCTTATTCATCACTGATGTTTCTCTCTCCCTTCCTCTCTCTGAAATCAATAAAAAAAAATTAAAAAAAAAAAACACACCCCAAAACCCTTAAATTCTTCTATTGAAACCTTTTATTCTGCATTTGTTGGTGCTTAAGGAAAATAGCTTTGCCATAATTCATTGTGCCCTGAACTTACGACACCAACTTATATTGGCCAATTAGGAACGAGGCCAAACTACATACTTCTTTAAAGGTCTAGTCAGTTGGTAAATGGCACTTAATTATTTCTTTCATGTAATCTTTAACAGGAATTCATAAGTTGCATTGATTATGCCCCAAGAGATGAGGGACCGGTGGTAATTTAGATGGGCACCTCTGAAAAGATTTGTCAGTTTCCTGTCTCGTTCTAACCAGATTATTTTGAAAACCTGGGGAAAAGACTGAAATTCCCCACCAATCTGAGACTGCATGCGAGTTTTTACAACATTAATTGGAAAAAACAAGATTCCCAACATGGCACCCAATAGACCTCCACAGATAAAATCATTGACCAAATGAGCACTGTACGTTGTTGCAGTAGGCAGGTGCTCCTTAATGGGACCCCGAAGGCCAAAAAACAGGACATTGCTGAACCCATTACGGAAAAGAACAGGTATCAAGCCTCGATAATACTCTCCAATTCCATGGCATTTCAGTGCCTTGAAAGCCTGGTAAGTGTTTGTAAATTTATCATGATGCTTGTGGTCTTGAAGCAGTGTCTGAACTCTTTCCAATGGAGTGAAAATCGCTTCTGTTGTCCCTGCAAGTATTGCTGCCATGCTACGGGTTGCAAAATCTGGGATACTGATATGCTTACGGAGAAGGCAAGATAAATCCTCATACAGACCAAACATAAGTGCCAGTGTAGTTGTCTTCTGCACTAATGGAGGAAGAATTCCGCGATACAAGTTTCGAAATCCATCCCTCCTCAACTGAAGCACTGCATCCCTGGTTTTGATTCCATACAGCTGTTGCCGAAAGAGGACCTTCTGAATGGGAAATGTGATCGCTACGTTGCTGAAAGCTGCACAGCAGCCACACAAATAATGTTTCCTTTCACCAACATCTGTAATATGAGGTGATATATCTTGTTTTGAAGATGTTATGATTGGCGACCTCTTTTTATGAGCTTCTGAATCCATCATGTGGCTTAAGATCTGTCGTCTTCATGAAGGATTTTTTTTAACCTACAAATAATAAAATGACAATAAACCTTTAAAAACAGTGTTAAACACATGGATTTTTTCCCCAAAACCTTCCTCCAATTTCTGGACACTTTTCCTTATAGATTAGCAGTTCTCCAAGTTTTTCCAAGGACTCCTGGAGGTCCCCGAGACCCTTTCTGTGGTCCAGGAGGTCCTCCCTGTTCCAACTATATATGACGTGATGCTGGATTTTCTGCATATACTTCAACCAAAACAACTTACTAGTACAACAGACTGAATGCAGAAGCAGATATGAGACACGACCTAGCTTTTAAGCCAGACATTAAAAGAAACTTGCAAAACTGTAAATCACACTCTTCTCAATTTTTTTTGAACAAGTTATTTTTCATGAAAATGTTGTTTATGTTAACATATAACGATTTTTATCATCGCTATTTTAAAGTAAATTAATATTTTTAAATTGTTTTAATTTCTAAGACCACAAATATTAATCCACATAAATAAAGGCTCTTTGGCATCCAGAATAACTTTTTGAAAGTATTTTTTTGATTTTAGAGAGAGAGGAAGGGAGAGGGAGTGAATGCTTTTATTGATCAATAAAAAAAATGTTATAGAAAAAAAAAACCCAACAATACTTTATTTAAGGGGGTTCCATTTTCACTCAATAAATTTTATGTATTTCTCATATGCTTCTTCACTTAATGACAGAGTAAAACCCTATTTTTATCAATATACATATAAAAAGCTAAAATTAGTTTATATTTTCTAATTTCAGAATAACACTGTATTTTCCTTTCTTACATTTTTCAATTAAATTGATCTCCATCTACTCAACTGTTTTAAAAGTTAGTGACAATAATGAGGTCTAATTAAGACTACAAAAGGCCTACAGTGTCAGACCGATGAGACAAAGTTCCAAATTGACAAAAGGCAAATGGCAGTACCTCTCTGAGGCTCGTTTCCACACTTAGAACCAAACCAATGCCATTGACCCTGCAGGATTAGATTAGAGTGAAACTCAGCAGACAGTACCATTATGTCGGGTCCTAATGCCAGGCCAGTTCAATTCCTGGTCAGGGTTGCAGGTTTGATCCCCACTAGGGGGCGGGCAGGAGGCAGCTGATGATATTCCTCTCTCATCAATGTTTCTATCCCTTTCCCTTCCTCTCTCTTTCTAAAAATCAATAGAAAACACATTGTAAAAAAATGGATTCCATTTTTTTAGTACTAATGATCAACTGAGAATAGGGCCTCTTAGTTTTCAAACATGAGAAGGGAATATATTTGTATATTATTCCTGTTTCACTAAAGTTCAACCATCTTCACCCCTTCCCACAAACACTAAATCAGGAATCTACCTTGAACTCTGGTCAAATACGGTCAAATACTTTTAAGAAGCAACTGGGATGATCATGTGGATACTGGAGGCAGAACCCATGTAACTTTTAAGAGTTACAGCGAATTTAAGAGTTACACCACATCGCTGCTGTGTGATCTTCAGCAAGTCACCCAACATTTCTATGGCTGTTTCCTCATTTATAAAATCAGCATGTTACCTACCTCATTGGTGATTAATTAACTGAGTTAATGCATAGAAAGCACCCAGGAGAGGAGTCTAGAACACAACAGGTGCTCAACAAGGATAAACTATCATTAACATGCTTTTTGGTAATTACTCTTCCTTGTAATATGGGCATAAATCCTATTTGGCCACGGTGAAATATTCTTTTAATGTATTGCTAATACCATGGTCTAATATTTTATTCTAAAACGTCACATCACTATTCACAACATAGACAAGTTTCCAATTTATTACTATCATGTCAAGTTCAGGTGTCAATATTTCATTGGCTTTGTAAAAAGAATCTTTTTTCCTTCCTTCTGATGGTGAACAATTTAAATCTTATCAAAATTATCTTTTCCTTCAAATTTAAAAATATTCACCTTTAGAAGGGGAATATAGTCAATAATATTGTGATAATTTTGCATGGTGACATGATACCAGACTTAGTGAGACAGTCACACTTGAATATTATACACTTGAAACTAATAATAACATTGTATACCAACTGTATTTAAATAAAAACAAAACAAATTTACCTGTGACACCATCTGGGCCTGGTGTTTTGAGGAATAGTAGCTTTTTGGTAACGTTTTCAATATTTCCCATTGTTAATGGATGTTAGGTTCTCTTTTCTGGAGTCATTTTGATAACTGGATTTCCTTTAAAAAAAAATCCTGGTTTATTTATAGTCTCATAAAGCACTTTCGATCTAAAAAAAAATACTTCTAATCTTGTGTACTTATATTCCCTTTTTTCTTGAGCAAGGTAGCCTGTTATTTTTTTTTAAAATATATTTCTTTATTGATTTCAGAGAGGAAGGAAGAGGGAGAGAGAGATAGAAACATCAATGATATGAGAGAATCATTGATTGGTTGCCTCCTGCATGCCCGGGATCAAGCACACAACCCAGACATGTGTCCTTGGCCGGAATCAAACCTGGGACCCTTCAGTCTGCAGGCCGACGCTCTATCCACTGAGCCAAACCGGCTAGGGCAGCCTGTTATTTTTTTTTAAATATTTTAAAATTGATTTTTAGCCGAAACCGGTTTGGCTCAGTGGATAGAGCGTCGGCCTGCGGACTGAAGGGTCCCGGGTTCGATTCCGGTCAAGGGCATGTACCTGGGTTGTGAGCACATCCCCAGTGGGAGATGTGCAGGAAGCACCTGATCAATGTTTCTCTCTCATCGATGTTTCTAACTCTCTATCTCTCTCCCTTCCTCTCTGTAAAAAATCAATAAAATATATTTTTTTAAAAAAATTGATTTTTAGAGAGAGAGGGAGGAGGAGAGAGAAACATTGATGTGAGAGTGAACACTGATCAGCTGCCACCTGCAGCTGCCTCCTGCCAGGGTTAGGGGATTGAGCCCCCAATCCGGCATGTGCCCTGACCAGGAATTGATCCTGACCAACTGAACAACACCAGCCAGGGCTAGCAGGCTAGCCAGTTTATCTCATTTACATTCTTCTCATCTTGACAAAGAAACCAGCATTTGAATTTTCCAATTTTACTTTTTTAATTTTTAAATTTGTTTTTCCTCTTTATTATCACTTTTCTCTTGGTTTGTCTACATTTATTTTATTCTAATTTTTTTAGTTAGATGCTTATTTTTATTTGTTTCATAATTTTAATGCTATGCATTTTCCTTTCAATAAAACTTTTATTACTTTTTAAGATATTCTGTGGAGAATTGTGGTTTGATGGTTGCCTCACAATCTGTACCATCTCCGTGGTGGCTTTGATTTGGGATGACTGTATATGCACTCTTTTTCAGAGTCCAAGCCTGTTTTGGCTTTGTGCGTCATATCATATTCTTTATGTTCAGGAGAAGAGCATCTTTCTCATGGCCCACAGGAAAGATCCTACAGGAATGGAACCTGGTATTAGGCAACTGTCCTCCAGTCTCAAAGGTTCAGTGACAAATACATCCTCAAGCTGACCTTCATCAATGGAAAAAGCAAAAGTGGGAAGCCAGGTTCGCCAAGTTTTTTGCACACAGTGGGACACCAGTCATGGCATAAGAGCATAAAGCACCCTGGTTCTATGACATTCTCACCACAAAACAAACAAAACCAGAATAGCCAATTCTAAAAGCAACCATCTTTCTACTGGCTCATGCTGAATTACAGGGTGAGGGAGAAAGAAACAGAGAACTTTATATGGATAGAGTAAGAAATGTTAAAAGTGTCCATTTTGGCCTGAAATTTTAGTCCATTCTGGATAAAAAGAATTTTCTATAACAAATATGAAATGTTGACATTCTGATACCCTCCTTGATCTGCTGATTGTGTTGCTTTGATTTGCTTTCTTGGAAAAGCATTTTTGCTAAAATCTATAGACTTCCACTTTCATATCCAGCAGTACTTTATATAGAATAGCATTGTGCCATGCAGTATTTGAAGACTCAGCTTTTAAAAATTATTAATCTGTTGCTGACTTTGTTAATTTCTGTTTCAACAGCCATTTCCCTTAATTCAGGATACAACTTGTTATGTATGAGTTTCCCTTCACACACTATTTTGTGGGTATGTATATGTCTTAACAAGAGAATTGGAAAAAAATAAAACCAAAACCACAGCCTTTTAATTTGTTTTTAAACAGACCTTCTGCCTGTTACATTTTGTGTTCTTAACCAATTAAAGAAGCCGATGACATTTTGGGTTTTTAAAAAAATTATAGATGCTCGAGAAGAAGTTTGCTGAGTTTAGGGTTTGATAATTATTGATTACTTAATCTTCAATATCCTTACTTCTTACTGTTTCAGCTAACTGACATGAGTTTAAAAATAAACTCTTATTAGTACTATACTAAAACTTAGCAAAGAAATGCTTCACATCTATGTAATGCTTTTTCTTCAGTTTCAGAACTAAACATTATAATCAACAAAAATATTCTAAATATTCAAAAATATAATAAAACCCCAATATGCAAATTGACCTAACAGCAGAATGACCAGCAGAACTGGTCGTTATGATGCGCACTGACCACCAGGGGGCAGATGCTCAACACAGGCGATGCCCCCTGGTGGTCAGTGCGCTCCCACAGGGGGAGCGCCACTCAGCCAGGGCTCATGGCTGGCAAGCATAGTGGCGGGAGCCTCCTCACCTCCGCTGCAGGTGGGTGGTAAGGAGAGCAAGGGGTCCCGGACTGTGAGAGCCCAAGATTGTGAGAGGGATGTCTGACTGCCTGCTTAGGCCCAGGGATAGGGCCTATGCCAGTAGGTGGACAAACCCCAAGGGGTCCCGGACTGCGAGAGGTCGCAGGCCGGGCTGAGGGATCGAGTCCCCCACTGGGTCTCTACTGTACATATAATTACACAATACATTGTGACAATTTATGAATGAAAACAAGTTCACTTGTACATACTGAACACAACATATTTTAAATTCTAAAGTTGCTACCTACAAGCTATTTAACAGTATATGTTCCTTGATAATACAGACCAAGTTATTTGTACACCTGAACAATAATTTGTCCATGTTCATTTTTAATTCTTACTGAAATGGTAACTAGCATTACTTTCTAAAATTTCGCAAATTAAAGTTATTTCATCCAGTTTGTAATGCCTCTCAGTAATAACAGGACTGTTATTAAGCAGAAAACAGTGGCTAACAGAAGTTAGCATGTCATTTATTAACCACTGTACTGAACTATTTTTTTAAATTTTTTAAATATTTTTATTGATTTTTTACAGAGAGGAAGGGAGAGGGATAGAGAGTTAGAAACATCGATGAGAGAGAAACATCGATCAGCTGCCTTCTGCACACCCCCCACCGGGGATGTGCCCGCAACCAAGGTACATGCCCTTGACCGGAATCGAACCTGGGACTCCCGTCCGCGGGCCAACGCTCGATCCACTGAGCCAAACCAACCGGTTAGGGCTGTACTGAACTATTTTGAGAAATTTTAAGAACATTATTCTGAGTCTCAGACTTCAAAAAAATACCTACAGGCCCAAACACAGGAAAAAGAAATGTAATGAAACCCAGACTTCATAGATTGCAAGCTTTCCCTTTAGTTTCATCCTGCACAACAGGATGGTGTGAACAGGCTCTTAACTTGGCAACGGAAGGAAGGGCAGTGTGCACGGTATTCTGGGGAAATGAAGTTTAGAATTTTTATGTTTATCTATACCATGAACATGGTTAAATTTCTTTGCTAAACTGATTTTCAGTTCTTTAATTGCAAAACTTATTTATCATAGTTGCACACTCCCTCAAACACTCCAACTATCTCAACATTAGGAAGTTAATGAAGTTGACTTTCGAGCAACCGCAAGTGTCAAACTTTTGTTGCATAAGAAAACAGTGAAAGTCTAAATACTCGCTTAAATTTACAGCCCACTTAGATAAACAAGACCCAGATGCGATCCCAGCACAAAGGTCTTTGTGCAAAACCGTGGAGAAGGCGATTGTAATTCTCAAAGGATGTGAACTCCGGCCCGCAGACCTGACTCAGCACTCAGGGCAAGACCAGCCTGGTTCTAGTCCTGCTCTTGCCACTACACATACAAGCCATGTCTATAACTTAAGAAACCCACTTCTCCGGGCTTACCTCAATCTACCAAAGGAGAGACCAGACAAGTCCGTTTCTCTTAGAGATAAGAACTTGTGATTTTTCTCGGAGATGCACTAGGGTGAGTGACTCCAAAGTGCCGAACCTGTGCTCCGGAACCACTCGGGAACCGGGCCGGTCCTAGCCCCTTTTAATTTCATGGAATCCTCGCAAAGCAAGGGCAGAGGCGGCTACACATTCAGCCAGGGCTTCACCGCTTACAGGTAGAGAGACAGGTGTTAATTCGGACCAGCTGCGCACGGCTGGCTGCAAGGGGCAAAACAAAAACCATGCCCGAAGGGTAACCACAGCTGAGGCACTGGCACGCTCCCTCCAGCTAAGCTCAACGCCAAACAATCAGCACAGAGATTTACAATGAGCAGCGCCATCCACCTTCCCCCCCGCCCCCCAAACCTCGTTTGTACACTGAGTTTCGCACCGCACGAAGCAACATGGTGTCGCAGAATAAGCCCTGTCTGTCCGTGCGACTGACTTACCTCTTTGCAGCGTCCATTCGGCCAACCTGTGGGAAGGGGGAGGGCGGGGGGTGGCAGGGATGCCCCTTCCGTCACCGACGTTCCAGAGTCCGGGGTCCCCGGGAGCTCCAGACCCCGGGGCGGGGGACCGCCGCCCTTCTCCCGGGGCGCGGGCAGAGGCGGCCCTCCCCGCCCTGCGGCGCGGGCGCTCCCAGGCACCTCCCCCGCTCGGGGCGCGCCCCGAGACACACACACACACACACAGCCTCGCTCGCGGAAAAGCTCGCCCGCGGGGGCCCGACGCCGTGCCCGGCTCCGCAGAGTCCCGCGCTCGGGGGCCGCGAACACCGAGAGCGCAGAGCCGAGCCCGCGCCGGCGGGGCGCGGTGCGAGCGCGCGGAGGGCCCGGGCGGCGCGCCCCCTCAGCGCCTCCCCCGCGCTCCCACACCCTCCGCCCCGAGGCCCGGGGTGACCCCGCGCTCCCCTCGCCGCAGCTCCTGGCACTCACCCATCGCCGCGGGCGCCCGGCTCCACGCCCGGTAGCCCCGGCCGCCGGATCGGCGAGCGAGCGAGCGAGCCCGCGCAGGCGCAGACCTTGACCGACCCCAACGCGCGGCGCTTGCGCCGTCCGAGCCGGATCACGTGGGGGAGATGCCGCCGCGGCCGCCACGCCCCTCCTTTAAAAGAGCGAGAATCAGGTGACGCCGACCTCCTGCTGGAGTCGCTCGCCGCCGCCGGGCAGGTACCTGGTCACCCATCACCCCAGTCCTGAGGCCTTGGAATTTCTTCCTCCGGAACGCCGCACCCTTGGCACCGTACGGTGGCCTTACCGGGCCACAAACAGCCAACGCTTCCTATCGCGCGCAGCCCGTCGGAGCGCCGGTGGGAATGGATTGTGTGATGGGCTGGCGGGCGCGGGTGCCCGGTGAAGATCTGAAAGTGCCCCACCTGCCCTGGTCGGTTTGGCTCAGTGGATGGAGCGTCGGCCTGCGGACTCAGCGTCCCAGGTTCGATTCCGGTCAAGGGCATGTACCTCGGTTGCGGGCACATCCCCAGTAGGGAGTGTGCAGGAGGCAGCTGATCGATGTTTCTCTCTCATCGATGTTTCTAACTCTCTATCCCTCTCCCTTCCTCTCTGTAAAAAATCACATATTAAAAAATAAAAGAAAGTGCCCCACCGGGTCCCCCTTTCTAGCCTTGGTTCATAAACCCATGGAGAGTGGCCTCTTAACAGCTACCGATCCCACAGTTTACAGAACACTCACCTGTGCTTTAGGTTAGGACTTACAAGTCACTTTTAACCCGTTTCCGTCTGACCTCAGGCAACTTGCAGCGTTGGCCCTACTTCACTGGCAGTTCAGAGGCCGAGGTTAGGTAACAGTCCTGACACTTAGCGGGAGTGACCTTGGACGAGTCATGCCCTGAGGCCCAGATCCCTCCGAAAAGGCACTCCCCTGGCGCTGGTAAGAATTACTGTTGTGGGAATAGTGGTCTGATTCCACTTGTAAGCGGGAGGCACGCAGCAGAGGTGAGGGGCTGAAGGAAACCGGAGAGGACTGTTTGGAGGGGAGAGGCCCTTCGTGAGGCTCGTGCAATAGGTGAAGTGTGTGCACTTGGCTTGCGGGGAGCCAATAGGCACCCCCACTGGGTGAAGGGGTAGCCCAGGGATGCCTTTCCTTGCCCACCTTCCCCCAGAGCGCTTTGTAGCTATTGCCTCCAACCTGTTGTCTGGGCTGCTGGAGCGGGCGTGTGGGAGACCATGCTACCCAACTTCAACCAACACTCTGCTGAGGGACCTACTGTGTCCCCAAGCTCTCCCGGGGGAGCTTAGAGGCGAGTGAAGGATATAAAAACAAAAGACTCTGGAAATTCAGAAGCACGAGGGACCCTTCTGCTCAAGAGAGAACTGGGAACGGCGTCTAGGGCAGGAGGTTTTTGAACTGGGTCTTGGGGGATGAATGGGTGGAATTTGGACTCCTGGAGAAAGTTATGGTGCAGGAGATAAGATTGTAAAGGTCGGGTGGCAGGGTCTGAGAGTGCCAGCCTCCACTGCCAGGCATAGGCACCTGGCCTGTCACTGGTGCGAGAGAGAGAGATATCAGACTCTGCAGGATAATGACAAGGCCACGCAGCGATCTGGAGTGATTAATCCGGCAACCGTTGGGGAAGGGCATTTGTATCAAAATTATGTTTGCCCTGTCCCGTGTGAATTCCTACTCAGAGGTAGTAAGTGGAAAATAAATAAACCAGGCATCCAGCATGTTCATAAGCATAAAAAATTCATTTCAGATTAGAATGGAAGGTTATTCTGTGGTAAAACCTGAAAAGGAGGAAGAGGTTGAAATTAAACACACCACTGGGAGATGCCAGGCCAGCAGGGCCACCCTGCCTGGAGCTGAGCCAGTCTGCTGCTTTTATGCTGCAGGCCACAGTGGCCCTCTGCCCCTCCAGCTCAGCTCCCTGTCAGACACCCACGGGCCCTTGGTCAGCTCTTCTTCGGTCTATGAATGTTGGAAACCAAAACCTGCTGCTGTGAGTGGCTCTGGCCAGATAAGGTCATCTTAGGTCTCTCCCTAGCAAGGGGTCAATGACTTTCCTTTCCCTTCAGCTCACATTTCCCAGGCCCCTGCAATCATCTGGGCCTATCTCTGCCACGCCCCGTAGGTCCCCAGGCTCCAACCGCGAGGTCAGCACTGCTGGTTCCCTTCCATGAACTTGCTGGTTCTTCTACACGCCCACAAGCTGCGGACATTTCGCCCTCTGGGCCTGGAAGGTCCTGCCCGCTGTTCACCCTTTGCAGACAACAGGGCTTCACTGCTTCCCCTGACCCCTGCCTCACTCCCCGCATGGCACTGTCAGCCCTGCCCCCTCCCCCAGGGCGTCCTTGAATCCCTTCTGTGCCTCTAACTCAGCGGTTCTCAACCTGTGGGTTGCGACCCCTTTGGGGGTCAAACGACCCTTTCACAGGGGTCGTCTAAGACCATCAGAAAACACATATATAATTACATATTGTTTTTGTGATTAATCACTATGCTTTATGTTCAATTTGTAACAATGAAAATACACCCTGCATATCAGATATTTACATGACGATTCATAACAGTAGCAAAATTATAGTTATGAAGTAGCAACGGAAATAATTTTATGGTTGGGGGTCACCACAACATGAGGAGCTGTATTAAAGGGTCGCGGCATTAGGAAGGTTGAGAATCGCTGCTCTAACTGGTCTGTGAACGCCAGGTCACACTCCCTTTCTCCTTTACCCATTTTCAACCTCACATTGACCTAGCGACGCACATGACCCACATCTATAACCCAGTCAAGGGTTTTATCCCACAAGCCTGTGAGGTGGTCTATTCCATTTACCCATTAATTTATTGTCATGCTGGTGGGGAGTGAGTCTTAACCCGGTTTTACACCAGAGTTAGCTGGGGACCTTTAAAAACCAAACCAGCCAAACAAAACCTGAGAGATTCTGATTGAACTAGTTTGCAGTGGGAGCTGGACCTTAGTATGCTTGGAAAGCTCCCCAGGTGTGCTGAGGTTTCCAACAGCACTAGATCCTGGCGTCCCCGAGGTGCCTATAGATAAGAATCACCTGAACTTGTCCCAGCAGCTTGTGAGCCAAGACCTGCTGCATAGATACCACCTGGGAACCTGTTAGAACTGACTCTTCCTGGCCCGCCCCACCCCACACACAGTGAACTGGTATCTGTATTTAACAAGGTCACCGGGTGATTTGTATATACTTTAAGGGTTTAAAAGCTAGATTCTAGGTACTGGAAGTTTGGTTTGGAAAAAAAAAAAAAAGATCTCCAGTTCCAAAGCGGACCTACTACAAAGTCAGAATATCCAGGGGAGAGGCCAGTTGGCTGGTCTACATTTAACACAAGCCCCAGGCAGTTCCTCTTAGGTAATTTTGGGAAACAACAGCTCTACATTGATACCCTGACCCGTAATAATAACCTAACGTTTGAAACACAGGAGCCTGCAGGCTCAGGAATATGAGTTAGTCTGCAGCCCATAGAGCAGTGGCTCTCAACCTTCTGGCCCTTTAAATACAGTTCCTCATGTTGTGACCCAACCATAAAATTATTTTCGTTGCTACTTCATAACTGTAATGTTGCTACTGTTATGAATCGTAATGTAAATATCTGATATGCAGGATGGTCTTAGGCGACCCCTGTGAAAGGGTTGTTCGACCACCAAAGGGGTCGCGACCCACAGGTTGAGAACCACTACCTTAGGATGCAGGCCCAGTGCGCTCGCTCTCCCTCCCGGTAGCTCGCCTGTGCCGTTCCCTCCCCACCCCCAGACCCAGCAAGTTACCATTAGCTTCCTCACTCCAAGCTCCAAGGGCCCTTCCTTTACCTCTGTAACTTGTTCTCTAAGCCCATTTCTTCTAGGAATTACCTTTTCTACTTCTGCAATTTACCCCATAAATGTTTTCTTTCAGTTTGGGTCTTCGCTTTGGATCCTTTCCTATCCAGAACCCAAATACCGAGGTTGCTGAGCCCAGGTTCGGTCTGATCCCACTGGTCAGACACCTGGTGCCGTTCCAGCGCCTGCAACACCGTGAGTATCCACAGGAGAGGGAGCATGCACTAGCTGCAGTCAGGGAAGGCTGCCTGGAAGAGGACCTACAGGGCATGACGAGGGTTTAAACAAGGTGGGCTCTAGGAGTGTGTAAGGAGACACCGGGCATCTCATTCTTCCTGACCTTATTCCTGTTCTCCAGCTCTGCCTTTGTCCCGG